GGAGAGGGGGGGGGGAGGAGAGACCCCTTCCGCTCCCACAGACCCCTTCCCCTCCTCGTCCCTCTCAGTCTTCCTTGCCTAAACCAGCTTCAGGCAGTACCAAAACAACAAGAATAACGACAATGAACACGCAAACCAACCAGCCAGCTAACCAGCCAACACCCACCAAACGACCAGCGCGCGAGCGCCGTGTCACCGGTACACGGGATCGCGGTTCGCCCAGCTATACGTCTTCGACTTGAGGTCCGCCACCGTTTGGTTTCGATTGTACTGCCGACCGCGCAGGATGTAGCCAGAGAGCCAGTACTTCGTCTTGACGGAGTTGCGCGGGTGAATGCGCCAGTCCAGCGGGACCAGCAGATTCGGTGAGCCGCCGTTGCCGCCGCCGGCGGGGTGGCTCGACACCCGCTTCGTCTTGGAGTGCACCCGCGGGCGGTGTGGCATGTTCGCCTCGACGCTGCGGCGACTAAAGTTGCGCTGCTTGTTGTACATGACGCCGGCGCGGCGGCCAAAGACGGCGTGGCAGTTGCTGTCGAAGAGACGGACTTCCTTCGACGGCAGAAGAATCGGAACGAGGTCCGGCTCCGACCCGCGCAGCACCACCGCCGCCGTTCCGCTTGCCCGGCAGAGCACGCCGCCGTGCCCGGGGTACATCTCGACCGAGTGAATCTCCTTTCCATAGGTTACCTCCGTCAGCGCGACGGTCTGGCCGAGCGTCGGCAGGCACCCTTGGAAGGCCTTGTTGTATACAATGCGGGGCAGCTGCTTGTAGGTCAGCAGCTCCGCCACGTACGCCCCGTTCGCGTAGAGGAAGAATCCAAGAAATGTCTTCTTGCGGGGGATGTGCACGACGCAGGCGAGCCATTTCGGAATGCGCTTCTGCGGCTTGTGGTTGATCAGCATCCGATAACCCCAGGACCGCTGCTCATCGCGCTTGTAGTGCCCCATCGTGACCTTGCTGCCGGGGTTTGTGCCGCTGCGGTGGCCGAAGTAGTCGCGGCTGGAGAAGCCCTTCCAGTCGTAGTAGAGAGGTGTGTAGGACATCATACTCGCCCCGACCTGGAAGGGCGACCAGATGTCTTTCTGCAGCACATCCTGCGAAAAGCCATGCTCTGGCGAACGAACGTACTCGAGGCGCAGCGCGACGGGCGGGCCTTCCTTGAAGACGCCGAAGTCGTCGGTGTAGCCATCATACATCTCCGTGTGCTTCAGCTGCGTGTCCTTGCCGGCCTCCAGCTTCGGCTCCAGCCCGTAGTGCTGGCTGCCGGTTTTGCCGATAGGGTTCACCAGCTTCACGCCGCGGAGGGCTGCTGACAGCGGGGGGGCTGCTGCTGCCGCTGCGGCCGCCGTGGCCAGCACACCACTCAAGGTGGAGAGCTGCAACGGACGACGGAGCATTGCAAATGCAAAGATCAGGAAATAATATATTTATAGGAATAATCGACAGCGAGACGTCCTTCTAATTATCGAAGTAGAGTGAAAAAGAATGGAAGGAGTGAAGGGCACGCACACGCACACTCCAGCAAATCATCCGCCCTGGCAACAACACAAGGCGTTGCGCTCAACTACGTGCGGTGCTCGGCGTCGCGTACTTTACTGCAGGCAGTTTTTGCCGCGACAGACGAAAGAAAAAAAAAGAGTGGGGAGAGATAAGGCGCGGCAGCAATAGAGAAAGGAAGAGGAGGGCGAGGGAGGAGAGAAAGAAACCTCAAGAGCCGGTTGCCGGTGCTTCATGTGCGCGGTACACCGTGGTAACGTCCCCCTCCCCCCCCCCCCACTCTACAAAGAAGAATTAAGAACACCCACATTCACACGCCCCCGGCGGCAGTCGGGAAACACAGTCGGAAGCACCTTCACGTTGGCGCAGGCGCGGCAGGCGGCACGCCGTTTCCTCGCTCAGCAGAGCGATTTTTTGTTTCTGCTCTTTCGTATATATATATATATATATATATCAAATTTTCTTTTTGTCTGAGTCGTTGCTGCTTTTGCTGATGCTGCCGTTATATATATATATATATATATATGTTTTCTTCCCTAGCCTTGCCGCTGTTGCACGCGCGTGAGCCGCATTGGCGACGCCGCAGAAGGACGGAGGGGAGAGCGGAAGAAGGCCTTTCTTGCGCCGCAACGGAGATGCCGTTAGGAGGGATACGCGACAACAACACAACAATTCAAATGAGTAAACAATATATATTTCTATCTGTCAAAAAGGGAAAGGAAAAACACGCACTTGAAAGAAGAAAGGCAGCGCTGCCGCTAAAACAAAAAGTAAAAGAGAAAAAAAGAAGAGCCTTCTAACGTGGGACAGAAAATGGACGCGGCGAGACGCACTCCCGCCTCGTCCTTGCAAACGAGAAGAGAGACAGAGAGAAAGAAGAAGAGGGAAAGGAAGAGCAACAAGGAAAAAAAACGGCGACGCAAAAACGCGTGCATCGTCGCGGCAATGGTGCCCGTTGATATCAAAGAAAAAACACAAACAAATGATCGAAGACACTAACGAAGAATGACGCTGAGGGTTGCAGGCAGCGATGCAGACACACACACGCACACGCACACGCAGGTAGAGATGGAAAGAAAAGAAAAGAAAAAGGGCAACGTTAACCTGAATGAATGTACAGAAATGAATGTAGTACAGCGAAAGAGAAGATCAACACAAGGCAATAATGTAAACAGTCACCCAACTGCATCGTGGCAGGCTACATGGACAGCTTCAACACAATCGGCGCATGGATGTCGGCGCTGTGCGGCTGACGTGTCGGTGCATCCCAGCCGCGGTGCTCCTCCTCCGCCAGCTCTCGTCGTTGATACGCCGTCCACAGCGGTGTCGATGGCGCCGCGGTCGCCGCCGCCGCATTATGGGCAAAAGCCGCACTCTTCTCCGCGACCGCAGGCTCCTCCTCCTCCTCCTCGACGACCTCCTCTGACATCGCCGAAATTCGCCGCGCCGCACCGGCAAAGGCCCACTCCATCGCGTTGTAGTCACTCGCGATCACCACCTCCATCCGCGGGTAACGACGACGGCGGGACGCCCCCGCAGAGCCGCTGCCCGGTCGCCGCCGCTGCTGCTGCTGCTGCAGTGGGGCCGACCACTTGCGAGAGGAGGAGGACGGTGACGTCATCGCATCCCCGGCCGCTGCGTCCGATGCGCGCGTTGGGCTCGAGTACTTCCGCCGCGCGTCTTGGTCTTCTTTTGCATCGTCGCCGCCGCCCGCCACGGCAGCAACGACGTCGTCTTGCTCTCCCCCCGGTGCGGTGCCCTCGCGCGGGCTGCGGGGCATGGAGGAGGTGGAGGTGGAGGCGGAGGACGAGCGGGTCCGAAAGAGAACGTTATACGCGGTGGCTGGCGTGGTGGTGGTTGCCGCCGCCCCTGCGGCACCGACGGCGCTCGGCGAACCAGCCCGCGTGACGGACCGCCGTGAGTCGGAGGGGGAGAGCGGGGACAGCGGGAACGGAGGCCGCAGCGGCGTCGCGTACGACCCGGGTGTCCCTGTCACCGCCATATCCCCCGCCGAGGTAGCGTACAGAACAGGGGAGCGGCTCTCGTCGAATCGGTTGGTCTTGCAGGGGTGTAGTGGTGGTTGCTGCAGCGGAGTGGAGTGGAGATCGTCGTCAACGTCACCCGCCACTGGCCTGGCACGCGTCGCGCCGCCGAACAACGGGTCGGTGTGGTTGCTGCTTGGGGAAACACCCCTTGAATTTGAAAGTCCCTCGCTCGTTGCTGCTGCTGCTCCTGCTCCTGGTGTTGAGGGAGACAGTACGTGCCCAACTGGTGCCCGCGACGCAGACGGCGCGTAATAGTAGTACTCCCCCCGCCACCCCTGCGATACAAAAGTCGATGTTCGCCGTTTCCGAATGCGCTGCTCCACGCTGGTGCGACGGTCTCGGCGCCATCCCTCCATCGTCTCAATCTGCGCCGCCACCACCTCCTCCTCGTTGTTGTTGGTGCCCGTCGCATCACCGGCGGTGGTGGCAGTCGTCGCGTCTGCCGGCGACCTCGAGTGCCCCGCCCGCCCCGGACTACCGCGCTGCCCGTCCCCCGCTTCGGCCTTCTCGCTGGCGAGCTCTCCCGCTGGTGGGAAGCGAAACGCGGTAGACAACGGCGTCGACACGGGTGACGCGTTCACGCTGCTGATCGAGCGGTGGGTCGGCAGGCGCAGTTCAATCTGAATTACCGGCGCCAGATTTGCTGAGCAACGTCCTGCTGCGGTACCCGCCGCCGCCGCCGCCGCCAACGGGTTCGTTTCGCTTGCCAGGCTGTGTTGAGCTTCCCGTCCGCTGCGCTGACGCCCGCCTGCCTCTCCGTCGTTGTCAGCGACGGCGTACATGGCACTCACGTAGGAGTTGATCATCCTCGGCTCCTCCTCCTCCTCCTTGTCGGTCGCACACGGTGAGACGCTCGCCGGCGAGACAAGCTGCGGCGTCAGGCGACGGCGCAAAGCCCCGCTGCGGCTGCTGCTGTACCCGCTGCCCCGCGACGACCCAACGCGCGCGCGGAGGGACTGATGGATGTACACCACGCAGTAGTAACTCGCGGAATGAGGAGCGCCGTCTGCCCCGGTTGGAGAGACGGCCGCCAGCTCGTACGGCGTGCTTTCAGGCAGCTCGAAGGACTCCACGTAGGGGCGATCGATCGGCGAGTGACCAATGCCTCGTGAAACACCTTCCGCGTACGCTACGTGACCATCTGCCGCTGCCGCGACGGTGGCGGGGGCGGCGGCAGTGTTCACAGCTCCCTTTCGATTAGCGGACGCGCTGTTGTCGACGGAGGCGGCGTTGCTCAGGTCGTAGAGCGTGGCGTGGTAGAGTCCCTCATCACTGCGGCCGAGTCGCGTTGGCGAGTTGGCGAGCAGGCGTTGGTAGCTGTCATCTGCGGCCTGCAGCACATCGACCCCGACAGCGCGCTCGCTTGCGTCCGACTTGTCATCGTCAACGTGGCGGCTGTTGGAAGCGCCTTTCATCACTTGGGGACTGTTAAGTAATGGAGCAGCACCGCCGTTGCTGGCATTCTTTGGCGCCTCACCGTGTGTCGTCGCAGCGGCTGCGCCATTGCTGAGACCTCCTGCGCTGTCTTGCTGCGGTTCTGGTGGTGGCGGCGGTGCTGGTGCGCTGCTCGCACGGTCGTTGGCTGCCGGTGCCGCCTTTAACACGGGTGTGGGCGGCGCGCGGGACCGGCGCTTCTTCTTTCCGGCCGCTCCGGCTGGTACAGCTGCTGGCCCTTTTACGGGGCTGCCGGCTCCGTTCACGGCCGCCGACCCGGCGTCTGGCGGCGGCGCCGACGACACGCCAGTCACGCTTCTTCTGCCGAGTCCAGGCCGTGCGGGGAGCGACGGCCGTGGCTGCGCTCGCGACGCCAGACCTTGCGGAACCGACTTGGAGGAGCGGTTGGCTTTGACGTTCACGCTCGGCCGCGGACTCAGCCGCGTCATCTGCTGTCGTTGCTGCTTCCGTTCAATTTCCTGTGCGTATTCCGCATCCAGCTCCTCGACCCGCTGCACGGCGGCGCGCGTGATGGCCAAAATATCATTCCCGAGCTTTCGAATGCGGGTGCACATCGCGTCCCGCGCCACGGCGGTGTCGGTGCTGCCGGGGCCGCTGCGTTGTGCCTCACTGGCTGGCATGGTCTGTCCACCCCACCGCACGAGGCTCCTTTCTCAATCGGATCGCTGCTGTAGTGGCTTGCGAGAGGAGTATGTTGGTGTGCAGAAGAAATAATAATAATAATAATAATAGCAAGCAACAAAGGTGAAGCTGTAGGTGTGAGAGAGCGAAAGAGCGATGCTTTGTGCGACGCCCACACGCGCTTCCTTTCCTGGGCGGCTTTTTTTCTTCTTCTTCTGATGAATAATAAATAAAAAATGAAAAGGATAAAGAACGACTAGTGCTAGATTTATAGATATTTATATACGGGTTTGTTTGTGCGCTGTGACGTTGGTTCCGCACAGCCGTGCTGGGCAGCCAACGGAAATCGGGAAGCATCAGGAAAGATCCAACAGGACGAGAAATGGAAAATTGGTGGAAGGAGCTATTCGAACCCGCGCATCCACGAGCAGCTGGCCCGACAACGTGTGCCGTCCCCAGCAGCCGTGCTTTTACGGCATTTCGGCTCTGCATAGGCGTGCGTGTTTTCTCGCGTTAACAAAGAGGCGAAGACGCGTTGTCTTCGTGGGGCGGCATCTTCTGTCCTCTCCCCTCCGTCGCTTCTCCTCCGTCCTATTAAAGGAGTTTGTTGGGACACCGGTGCTCGGCAACAACAGTGAAAACAACAAATGAAAGCAGGAAAGCAAGCTGACAAACGACAACAGAACAACACAACGGCCTCCATAGGACGGGATACGAATGTCCACACACGGAGAGAGAGAGAGAGATAAGGAAAAGTACTATTGAAAGAGTACAGGTAACTGTCATAATGCGACGCTCATAATATATCCCAGAGCGTCACTAGTCTCGTGCTTTTCCACCCCCACCGCAACGAAGCTGTCGACGTATTTGGTCCACCGCGGCCTTCTTCTGCGCGTGGGCCGCCTCAAGGTCCATCAAACGCTGCCGTCGCACGCGTTCTTCGGCGGTGATCGGTGCAGCTCTGCCGCCATCGCCCACGAACTCTTCCGCATCATCGCCGTCACCTCTAATGTAGTTCGCACTATCGTCGTCATGGCTTTCAGCCGTTTTCCTCAGCAACAGTTCCTGCCGCTCCTGCGCCACCTTTTGGGCATAGGCGAGCGCCCGCTCACGACGCGCACGAGCTTTCTGCGCCGCCTTGCGCGACACCGCCGCCACCGCGAAGGCCGGCGTTGTTGACGGCCCTGGTGCTGCTGCGGCTGTCGAAGACCCTCGTCGTTGCGCCTTCATGTCAGCCGCTGCCCCTTCGTCTTTACTCGCATCTGGCGGCTTGTGGGAAGTTGAGGGAGTAGCCGGGTGTGCAGGGGAGCGCGTCGCCGGCGTCCGTTTCGAGTTTTTCGGAGGAGGGCGGTGCGCGGTGTTTTGCCGGTCGTGTGCGGTGGCCGACCGGGATGGGGAGCAGGATGGAGACGAGGTGCACAAGGAGCTGTCGGATGTTGATGCGGAGGACGACGATGACGCCGACGTGGAGGACGACGGCTCCGCTCGATTTGAACGCGCCGGAGGAGCGCTGTGACTCGTGTCGTGACACCCACTGCCTGTCGCGCCATCCGCCGCGGTGTCACCCGCCAGAGCCTGCCGGGCGAGTTGCTCGGCCTGACGGCTGTACTCCAGTGCCCTCACCCGCTTCTCTCGTGCGGCGCGCTGCGCATCGGTGTCGCTCGGGCCCAACCCACCGACTTTCCGCGTGGCAACCTCAGCGATGAGGGACTTGTACGAGCTCAGTGTGTAGGGTGTGTACCCGGGCTTCTGTGCCGTCTGCCCAGGCAGCGGAGAAGGCTCGGAAGGCCCCGAAGACACGGACGACGATCGCGTGCGGGAGGCGCACGGTGAAGACGACTTTGGAGGCAGATCGGCAGAGGCAGCGGATGGACGTCGCAACGTGCGGTGAGCCACCGGGACGCGTAGGGACGGCTCCATCGACGACGACGACGACGATTGCGTAGCACGCGACCCCGGCACAAGCGGTCTCGCGTCTTTTACCGCTCTTGTGTGGTGCGCGTCAGCGCCGTCTGCTGCTGCTGCTGCTGCTGTCGTGGGTGGTAGTGGAGGAGGAGCGGGGAGCGGCGTGGCAACTTCCTTCGCCAAGGGCGTGCGAGAAGCGCCGGAGAAGGAAGTGGAAGCTGCACTGGAGGGTCGGTGCACCGTGTGTGGCACGGCGGAGTTGGTGTCGCTGCTGCGCCGGTGCCCTCCCGTAGCAGCCGCGGCAGCGAGGGCCGAGGGAGCCAGCAAACACTTCACCCGTTGATCCGGCGCCTGCGACGTGGTAGAGGACGAGCGACGAAGGGGGCGTGGGGCGGCTGTCGGGGTCGCTGCGTCGAGTCGGGGCGAGACAGCGTCACCGCGATCGCCGTCACCGTCGTTGCTGCTGCGTCCCATGTCCACCTCTACCACGACGTTGTGGTGGTACTTCTGCGTGGTGGCGTGTGCGGGTGGTGGTCCGAAGTTGAGGGCACGGTGGGTCGAGTGGACGGTGGGCAGCATGCCCACCTGCTTGCGTTGAGAGGCGGGAGCCGGTTGCGGTGATGGGAATGGCGCTGCTGCTGCTGCTGCCTCGGCTCCTCTGTGCTTCGCATCATCGGCGTTTCTCACCGCCTCTTGTTTCGATTTTGATGCGGTCTTCACCTCACCCGGTGCGAGAATTGTAAAGGCAGGGGAAGGGCCTTTTGCATTAGATTTGGCTTTTGCTTCGGTCGGCGGGGTGGAGGCGGGGAGGGCGACCTTTGGTGCCATGGGTGCCGCCGCGGTGACGCCAAGGTGCGCGTTCGAGCCGTCTTTGCCCACGACCTCCGTGCGACTCGCAAAGCGCCGCTGGAAGGCCGAGAAGGCAGCAGCGGGCGGCGCAGCGGACGGCGACGACGACGAGGACGATGACGGCGGAGGGGGACCCCAGACGTCGGGGTCGTACTTCTTTCTAGCTGGCATGAATAGTGGGAGGGGGGAGATCGAGGGGGAGGGACACGAAGGAGATGCCCATTCAGACGCCCGCGACTTCGCCGAAACGGACAACGGCGTGAAATAGGAAGGTAAGTGAAAAAGGAGGCAACGCGAAAAGAGGAGGAGGAGTAAGACGAAGACCAGCGGGTGGGGAGGGGGAAGGGGGAAGGGGAAAGGGGAAGGGAAGGGAGGAGTGACATCGACGCTGCAGACATGCACGATGACTTTGTTGTCGAGGTGTGCGACCGTCTTATTTCGCCGTATGGAAGCCGCAACACCCCCCTCCTCCCTTTTCTCCCTAAAAGGAAAACTAAGTCCAACGAGGGCTAGAGCCGCTTTCACGTATCCGTAAGAGGGAGGCGTGCCTGAGAGAGCGCTCGCTGATGCTGCCGACGGCTTCTGTGCCCCGTAACAAGACCACCACGTACTAACGCATGCGCTGCGACCGTTTTAAACAGAACTCGCTCTTCTTCGAAACAGTTTTCCTTGCTTTTTTTTTTTCGGAGAAGGGAGACGGAAGATGGAATGAAAGCCAACAAGCACGCACGACTACGCACTCGCCGTTGTCCTTCAGCAACACACACGCACACACACACACACACACATACACATACACATGCACATCTACAAGCGCCAACACAGTCCGCCAAACGCCCTTCCCTCACCAATGAAGAATTCAACGATGTTTGTTATAATAAAAAAGGGTACTATTGCAAATATTGATGGCAGAAGAAACCACAGCAGCCAGCCATCATCAAAGCCCGATCAACGCACTGCGCGCAAGATGCCGCGTAAAAGAACGAAAGAGAAGGTAGGTTTCTCGACGGAGCAAACTCTTTGCAGGTCCTCCTTCGTTGGCTTACTCGTTCTGTAGCAGGCACATCTTCATGGCGGCCTCCAGGCGCGTCACGCTTCGTGTTTGCTCCACGTTTTGCAGCTCCAGCCGGCGCACCTGCGCATCGCGGGAGCGGATGTCCGTCCCCCAGCTGCGCTCGCCCGCCTTCAGCATCTCGCGGCACTCATGGAAAGCCTGGTCGGACATCTGCTGACAACTGCGCTGCGTGGCGAGGAGGGTGTTGCGGATCGATGAGGCGTACCACCAATAGGTGAAGGCACACAGGAAGCCGGTGCCGACGGTCGCGCCGAGTGTCGGGTTGCGCTGCAGCGGCCGCACGATGTTGGCAACAAACAACGTGTTCATTGGAGCTTTATGGATTGGAGGTGAGTCACAGTAACAGTAAAGCAAAAATTGAGTTCCAATTGTGTGTGTGTGTGTGTTCGATACTGAGTAAAGGAAGAAGTAAGGAGGGGAAGTGAAAGAGGAGACGGAAAAGAATTAACCTGGCCGCTGCGATACGGACGTGATCGACGCCGCCGGCGTTGACGGACACCCGCCTTGACTGAGCTGCCTTCCCACGCACACCCCAGTCTCAGTACCGACGGTCCAAGAGGTACCAAATAGTAGTAAAAAGCGCGTAGCAGCGCTTTCTCTATTTCTCTCCTTGCCAGGGCACCCACATCAGGAGCTTGCGCTTCCGCAGCAGCGCACGGCAGTCATTGCCACGGCTGTGGGACTTGGGGAGACTTCCTTTTTCCCCTTTCAACGGGGTGAACTACTGCGGGGGCAAGGGAAAAGACACACTCACACACACAAACTGCTGCATCGCCACACCGCTGTCAACCAACACGAACGTCTCATCATCAACATCGCTCCAACCAGCACCCGCACATGTCAGCGACTCTCTCGCAGTTTCTCGCCCTTTCCATGCCGGCGCTTTCGCGCTCCACAGCGGCACGCGCGTGGGGGAGGCGATGCCGTCGGCCGAGCCTGAGCACAGCGAGACAGGGAAAAGGGGAAAGGCGGCGGCGCTTAGAAAAGCTTGATCTTGCGCGCCTTGCGCTGCTTCATCGGCCCCTTGCGCTTCGACGAGCCATCGCCCGCACCGCCGGCCCCCGACGACGTCGCGAGTTCTTCCACACCGTCCCAGCCTTCCTCCGACCGATCGAGCAGCTCTGGCGGGCCGGCCTCGTACTTGCGGAAGAGGTACTCAATCGAGTACTTCCACCGCTCCTCGGAGTAGCTCTGCTTCTCCAACAGCTGCGCATACTCGTGCGGCGTCTTGGGGATTTCCTCGTGGAGAGAGTGGTTCACCACGGGCAGGCCCAGCAGCGTGTACGCCTCCTCCGTCGCGTAGATGGCGTAGCGCTGCGGGATGAGCTCGTCCCGCGCGTAGGCGCGATTGACGTACACGGTTTCGTGCTGCCGGCCGAGCCACACCTGCCTCTCGTCGTCCCAGACATTCGCGAGAAAGATGACTGGGATCTGCAGCGTTGGGATCTGCCGGGCCTCGCCTACCTCCAGCAGCGGACGGTGTTTCACGTGATCGGGGTACGGGGCGATGGTGTAGCGGAGGTCGTACTCCCCTGGGCGGTAGGGGCTCATCGGGTAGCGGGTCTCGTTCTCCCGCATACGGAGCTCGTAGGTGGAGAGGGCCATGCGCTTCCAGTACGGCGTCCGTGCGAGACGGTCGCTGTACCCGCTGGACACGCCGAAGGAGCCGCCGACCTCGCCGCCGGGCGGAGGGGGCATCGTGACCTTTACATCGTGCCGCGGCGGTGGCACCCACGGCGCCACCAACACGCAGCGCGAACGGCGCATGGTGACCTACGAAAATACAGAACTTCGTGTTCGTGCGTACACCGCGAGAAGCTAAAGGAAAAAATGCAAAGCACAAAAACCAAGTCCGTTCGTTCTATACCTTCCACGCGTGCTTTCGCCCCTCCATCTAGAATTGTATATGGAGAGAGAGAGAGAGAGAAGGTGCGATGAGTTACGAGAGGGTGTACGACGCTTCATTTCTGTTTTCGCCATCAACAGCAACAAAAATGTATCGAGCTAGAGCGACAATGAGAGCTGTTTTACGACGACGCCCCCGACGCACACACACAAATAGTCGTGTTCTCCATCGTCAGCCGTAAGTGCAGGGAGTGCGAGGTGTGTCGCGGTTTCTCTCTTCGGTTTCTTCGTTTCTCTTGCGTGATGCACAGCGCTTCATCAGACGTGAGCACACTTCATGCCCCCCCCCCCCCCTGCCCCGTTGCAGCGCACTTTCCATTTGTATTTCCCGTTGTATATGGCGTGTATGTGTATGTGACTGGGACTCTATCGTTGCGACACCAGCTGCAGCAATGACAGCAATTAGCGGCACTGAGGCAGACGAGAAGATACACCGCAAAGAGCTGACGGAGAGGGAAAACCGTTTATCCCCCAACTACTCTTAAGTTTATTTTAATCGATAACGAAGCACAACCGTGAACGCGAGTGGCAGGCGAAGAGCAAGGCGTGGTTGGGAAAAGCGGAGAAAGGCCAGAAGCAACAACAAGCAGCAGCAGCAGCTCATGAGTGCGGCGTGTTGGCTGCTTCGTCTCCGAGAGAGTGTGTGTGTGCGTGTGTCGACGGAGCACGGATCGAGTAGAATGTCGACCACCATCAGAGCATCCTCCCAACCCCTCCCTTGGAAAGTGTTCGACACCACAACCCTTCGTACCCTCCACTTCAACAGCACACAGAACCTCCCTCCTCCACTTACAAATACAATGCAAACAACGACAAAACCCGCCCCTCTCCTTCCCCCCCCCCCTAAGAAAAAAAAAAGGCATCGTGTCCCCACAGCAGGAACACCGAGCATCGTGAATATAAAGGGTTGCCGTTGCACCAACCCCCCGCCCTCCCTCCTCCCTCTTCCAGCTGCCGCGGGAAACACCCAGGAGGGCGGTTGGCCGGCAACGACGAGTTCAAAGAAATGAAAAAGAAGTTGCATAAGCAATACGAGATGAAAAGCAAGGGAGAAATCAGAACAAAACAACATCACATAGCGGTTTAACCGCTCAGCTGCAGTGACGTGCTGTCGAAGACTTCGGACAGCTCCGGGTGGCGCCACAGTGCCAGCTTCAGCATCAACGTGGAGTACATCTCCTCGAACCACGCCTTGGTCATCAACATCATCAGCTGAATCTTCGGCAGGTCCTCGTGCGAGGTCTTCAGGGAGTAGCGCAACATCCGCATGGGGCGGTTCGCCGCGTCGCCCAGTTCGCGGTTGATTGCCTTTGTGGCCATGATACTCCGCAACACCAGCGCGTACTCCTTCGGCAGCGCGGCGACGATGCTGTTGAGTTCCGACATGCGCTCCTTCACGGTGGACCGCATGCTCTCCAGCTCCTTCGCGTTCGTCACGCGCCCTTTGCTCTTCGCGAAGTACTCGTAGGGGTGCTGCAGGAAGCACGAGGCGAAGAGGTCATAGTCGTCGCAGTGGTAGCGGTGGGCGATCTCCGTTATCTTCGGCGTGTTGTGCGTAACTGCCGACGTCCAGATGTCGCTGATCTCGCGCCTTTGGGCTTTGCTCAGCGCGGCGCAGAGTCCGAAGTCGAGCAGCACCACCTGCGGCGAGCCGTCCGGCAGCTTCTGCACAAGGATGTTGCCCGCGTGTGGGTCGCCGTGGAAGAAGCCCGACCTGAAAATTTGAAAGGCTATCACATCAAAGAAGAGTGTCGCGACTTCCCGCACGTTGAGGCCCATCTTCTGAATGCCAGCGCGGTCGGATATCTTCACCGCGTCCTTCACGAACTTCGACACGAGGATGCGCTTGCCAGCGTAGTCCCAGAAGATCTTCGGGCACACCACGCGGTTGCCCCAGCCGTTTGCGCGCAGGTCTGCCGCCGCGCGATCGCTGTTGCGGCCCTCTAGCCGAAAGTCTAGCTCCGCCGCGACGGTGTCGTTCAGCTTCGTGATGATCTGGCCAAAGTCGTACCCCGGAAAGAAGTAGCTTGCGACGGCGAACATGATGCTGATGGTACGCATGTCCCCGTTGAAGCGCTGGGCGATGTCGATGTACTGCACTTTGATGGCGACCTCCTCGTCCTCTTGGCGCAGACGGCCGCGGTGGACCTGCGCCAGCGAGGCGGCCGCGAGCGGGGTCGCATCGACGTACGCGAAGACCTCCGACAGCGGGCGGCCGAGGTCTCTCTCGAGCACCGCGACGACCTCCGAGAATGGCCGCGACACCACCGCATCCTGCAGCACCGCCATGACCTGGCAGTACTGATACGGGAGGATGTGGCTCATGTTGGCGAAGATCTGCCCTGCCTTGACGTACAGCCCGCCATTCGTTTCCGCCAGCGTCACGAGCCGCCCAGCGCAGCGGCGGTGCACCTCGTTCCACGTCTCCTGCGAGTCCTGCTGACGCACGTGGAAGACGTAGTCGCAGTAGATTTGGCCGCCTGTGTATACGCAGCGCCCCACGCGGCCGATGCCCTCGAAGAGCACCCGCGACGGTAGGAGGGCGGTTGGGATCGACTCTTTCGGCGGGAGGACGATGGCGGCCGTGCTCAGTCCGACAACGCCTGCCGCAGCGGCGCTGTAGCGTAGGGTTCTACGAAACCGAAACGTCATCTACACGGACGGAATAAGAACTTTCCTCTCAGTTTGCGTGTGTGTGTGTGTGTGTGTGTGTGTGACGAAGACGATGATGAAAGAGGTAGCGAAGAGCGGTGGGAGTTCATGTACGCGACACATCAGCGGCGACTACGATAGAGTGCATGCGTGTCCCCTGTACTTGCACACTCCTGCAGATACACCACACTCCATTTGAGGATCCATCCAGGCGCGGGTCGCAGCAAACCGACGACGATGAAAAGCTCTAAAATAATAATAGTAAAAGTAAAAACCACTGCCTTGCTCTTTCGAACAGTAAAGCGACGGTCTTGGGGAGTTGAGTGCCCTTCCATTCCTTTTTTTGCTGTTTGTAATCGCGTGTGAAGACAGCACCACGCGGCGCTTTCACACACACGCACAAATCTCCTTTCTTCCCTCTTGCGGCTTTTCAATCGTCCAGCACCACGACAGCGTCGTCCGCCCCACCGTCTTCAACATCCAACACCGCAGCGGGCCTCGAGTCAGCGCTGTGTCCGCCCACCACCTCCGCCACATCGCTGTCATCGCCATCCGATACAATCACCTCGAAGGCATCCGGCGGCACCGAGTTGTTGACCGCGGATGCACTGCGGTGATCGCCTGCGCGCTTCGTTTCTCCTTCTTCTCCGTGTCTTGCGGCTGCTTCTTCATCCTGCTGCCGTCGACGCAGCTCGCCAAGACGGGCCAGCGCGTGTTGTTCCGCGGCTCGTGCCTCTTCCAGCCCGGATAGCGTGAAGTGAACGTCATCACGTGTGTTACCATTTTCTTCTTCTGCTGCGGCATTCACGTTGTTGTCCGCCGTCGTCGTGCCTGCCGCACTGCTGCCGGTTGTCTGCGGCGGCGCATCCACGAGGATCACGCTCCACGCAACGTCCTTGTTTAAGGCATCAGCAGTGAGGAAGAAACGACGTGCGGGCCAGCTTCGCGCGTGTGCGGTGAGCCCGCTTTCTTCCGCGGCCATATTGTCAGCAGCAGCAGCAGAAGGCCGCAGCAGCTCCGCCAGCGTGCTGCCCGCCAGGGCTTCGTAGTCTTCGTCCTCGTACAGCATCGTCACACCGTGGCTCACGGACGGGCCCTCGAGAAGGAGCGCGTCTTCCAACACGGAGTGCACGAGCTGCCCGAGCGTGACGGACTCCAGGCTCAGCTGCACGACCACCTCCGGGTGGACGTCCTGACAGACGAGGCAGTGGAGAAGGTTGGGCGGGTTCGGACAGGTGCTGTGCACGACATACGCGTCGATCACTGAGCGCGGTTTCTCCCGCGGAGGCGGACAGGTGTTCGGTGCGGCGAGCGTGGTGTAGAGGGACGGGGAGACGTGATGACCACCACCGATCACCGGCAGGCGACGGCGACGTGTCTGCGGAGCCTTGCGCGCGTACACCACGTGCGGGGCCGCAGCGTCGCCGTTTGTCTGCGCTGCCACGACACCGCCGGCAGGTGTCTCGCCATGCTTTTTCGTGTTCTCTCCGTACGGCGCAGCGGGCGTCGCCGACCGTTGCAGCTGCAGCAACAGGGCAATGAGCTCGTGTACGACGGCCGCGGCAATAATCGCGTTCGTTGTCGCAATGGCCGGCACGATCGACCCCGCAATGCTTCGCACCGCCTCCAACGGCTGCTCGGGAATGTGAAAGACGTGTGCGCGCAGGTTTGCCGTCGCGCTGACGAAGCGCACGGCGTCGTCGTCGTCCTTCTTGAAGGCCACGCCGGGCGGGCGAGCGAGACACGCCTGCACGGCGCGTAGAAACAACTCCGTGCAGTCGGGCAGCGATAAAATTTCATCAGCGGAGGTGGACCGCAGCGCGACAGCTGGAGACGACGCAGCGACCGCGCTCTCCACCGCTGCGGCGTCCAACGGCACAGGCGGCTCCGTCGACCACGCAGACTTGAGGGAGAGAAGCTCGTTGATCTTGTCCACGAAGAGCTGGCGCAGCAGCTGTGCGCCAAGCTGTGCGGCGGACGGCTTGGGCGTTACACCGTGCGCTGACTCCTGCTGCTCCGCACGCCACGCCGAGACAAGAGTGCGAAGGTAGGAGAGTTCACCCTCGCTGCCCGGCGTCTGCGAGGGTTCCCGTGCGTGTCCATCTTGCTCTGCTCCCGCTCCCATAGCTCCATGAAGCTCGCCGTTGTCTGCCGGCGCTGCGTCGCCGGCCGTGCTGCCAAACAACACCTCGTACAGCTCCTTCGCGTAGTGCACGCAGTGCACCATCGTTGTGGGGCGCGCGTGAATCGTGCAGACGGCGAACGTGGTCGTGTCGGGCGGCTTTGGGCGGCAGTCGTAGCACTCGTAAACCCCCTTCACAATCGGCTGCACCTGACCGTTGTAGCCCATCGTGCCGCTCTCGATGAGCGGCACACCGCTGCGCATGCAGCGGCGGTTCACGTGCTGCCGCGCCGCCACGTTGTCCAGCGCGTTCAGCACGGCCGCAAATTGGGCGTAAAAGGCATCGTCGAAGCGCTCCGCTTTGATGTTGTCGTGGTAGGCGACGATGTGCGGTGCTGCTCGCCGATGGCAACGGGCGACCGCCGAGCCGTCCGCGGAGAACCACTCCAGTACCACACGCCGCGCCGTCTCCGCCTTCGAGTGACCGACGTCGGGCAGCTGGAAGAGAAACTGGCGATTCAAGTTCGTCGCGTCGATGGTGTCCAGGTCGATCAGGTGGAGGTGTGTGAAGCCGCTCAGCACGAGCACCTTCAGCAGCTCGCAGCCGATGCCGCCGGCGCCGACCACGAGGAGCGGCTTCGCCGTCAACTCTTGCGAAGGACGCGACGAGGGTGGAGACAACAGTTTCTGATTAACAGAGGGGCAGGAGATGGTGCCGGATTCAAACTGCACCGGCACCCGCTCTGACAGAACCGCCGTCACGCAGCCAGACGCACCAGACCCCGTGGAGGTCAACAGCCGCACTTTGCGAGGCAGCGGTATCGCCGCGAGGACTTGAAGCGTGGCCTCGTCATCGACGACGGCCCGGTGCGACGCAGTCGTTGTCCTGTCTGGCGAAGTGGACGTCTTCAAACCTTTTTGTTGCCTCTTTGCTTCATGCACACCGTTGTTGCGTCCCTTCAGCGCAGGACAAGACGCCGCAGCAGCACCCGCCTCTTCCTTGCCGCCACCGTGCCGATCCAGCGCATGCGGCACAAAGCAGAAGCTCCACGTTGCCCACAATGACGTGGAGGACTTTGGCGGCACCACGACCGGCCATTCCGAAGACGCCTTTTTCGACCACCTTGTAAGCGCATCGAGAGCCACCGTACTCGTCTGGGTACTGCTGCTGCTGCCGCTGCTTCTGTTGCACACACACACACGCGCCACTGCATCCAGCGCGTAGCGGCGCAGCGCATCACGGAGACTCTGCACCGACAGCCCCGTCACGGTCACGACGTCGTGCATCGCAATGCTGGCGTTGCTGCCGCCGTTGCTGATTTCATCGCTGTAAACCGCGACTCGGCTTTGTGCGTTGACGGCGTCCAACCGGGCCCTCTTCGCGTCCGGTTCGTGCGTCGTCTCTGCTTGCGAGTCCGCACTGCGTCCACGTGCAACTTCACGCGGAAACACAACGTGACCAACACACACGTTCATCTGCGATGAAAGGGAGAGGAATATAAAAAGAACTAGTATCCGCTTTTCTTCTTCCCGGGAGGGGAAGTTAAATTTGGGCGAGGTGCTCGAGGTGCGTCGCCCTTCAATGCGCGAATGGTGACGCTGAGAGTCCAAATAGGCAGGGAGGAGAAGGGGAGAGAGAAGGAAATAAAAAGAAACAAAATCGAGGCTGCATCCGCATATCGTGGAGTCGTCGTGGTGCGGGTTCTCCTTCACAGTCTCTCTCTCTCTC